ATATGTTGTAGATTCGACGAGACCCTTGGATATCCCCAGACCCTTCTAGATAGCGGTATTGGATATAAATAACTGGATTTTATTGTGGAGTTGAGTAAAAGATAAATTCGCACATCGCGTATTTAAATGTACGGTCGTAATAAATTATTGTAAAATAAATTAGTACAAATAAAGACTTTAATAAATTTGTGAGTGTTATAAATAGAACCTTTAGTAAATTAAATTAGGAACAATAAATTAGAATTAATAAAAACATTATACATCGTTTATACCAATAAAGATATGCCTTAATCATTATTAGTCCGTGATCCGAGGCCCATTTTCACCATTTATTACTACAAAGCTAATGGGTCGTGAGTAGCTTTATTTTGACGAGACGCAAAACTTTTGTCCTCACAACAATTTGCATTTGTGGTAGCTAACAGGGGCAGCACGGATGAAATATGTTGATTTGACGATTCTCAATAATTTATTACTAACTAATTTACTACTAACCCACAAAAAAAATCAGAGGGTTAATAATTATTTTTCATGCATCGCCAATGATACATGCTCAAAAGGGGGAATCTTTGATAAAGCCTTGCATTTTGTAGGAAAAATATTTTTCCGGTTAATTTAGATATTTTTTTTTAAGAATTAACAAAAAAAAGTCAATTAGTAATACATTTTTGGTAATTATCAAATCACATATTATATCTCTGGTACCCTTGTTATGTGATGATAAAAAATGATGATAAAATGATGATAAAAAATATCAGAATTTTACATACAAATGAGCAACTTCATGAGAGATATACCGAGACATGAACTCCTTATAGTCATGGGAAATTTCAATGTTAAAATAGGTAACAATAGTGCTAAACACATTTTACAAACTACCATCTAGATACCTGTATACGTGGAACTCACCTAGAGACAATAGAGAAGACGTTATTATAAGAAACCAAATAGACTATATACTTGTTAACAAAAGTACGCGGAAAACAAAAAAAAACTGCAAAAAAAAACATGACATAAGAAATCTAAAATGTAGTTGCATAAGAAATCTAAAAAGTAAAAGAAATAGTCAGCAAAATAATAAATATAAAATTCAAAGAAAACGGAAAGAACAGAAGAGAAGATAGAATCCCTTAACAAAACGATAGACGACATTAAAGACAAGTTTATGAAGAAAGAAGACATGGATGACGACAAAAATTCTGCAGCTGATGGAAGAAATATGAAAAAACAAGAACAATAACTCTATGTATAAAACATTACAACGACATATACAGAGAAAGATCATAGAAGCCAAACAGAAAGAACTGTTTACAGGTTTACAAGAAAGAAATTTCAGGCAAATGTAAAAACAGAAGAGTAAGGAAACTTGTTAATGATAACGGAGAGGTAATCGTGGAGAAAGAGAGTATTGATATACCTACGGAAACAGGACCACCTATACTAGTGGCAGAAATAAGAGCAGCCACAACATCACCAAAAGAAGGGAGAGCTGCAGGACCAGACGAAGTACAGTCTGAATTTCTTAAATTTCTTGATGATGAATCTTTAAGAATACTATGTAAAATCTTCAATATCTATGACAACATTCAATATTCCAAAAGATTAGCTAGTTTAAGAATTTATTACGTACCAAAGAAACAGGGAGCGAAAAAGTGCGAAGAATATAGGCTAATAAGTCTAATGAGCCATGAACCAAAACTTTTTCTTAAAATTATACATCGCAGAATATACAAGCTATGCGAAGAGAGAATACAAGACACACAGTTTGGATTCATGAAAGGCGTGGGTACGAGAAATGCACTGTTTAGTCTACAGGTATTATTGGAAAGATGCAGAGATATGACTTGCGATATCTACACTTTACCAAAAAGCATTTGACATAGTTCAACACCAAAATGATGGATGTTCTAACAAAAGTCCAAATAGATGATAAAGACCGGCGTATAATATAAAATTTATACTGGAACCAATCAGCCACAACAAGAACAAATCTTTGAGATGAACCGACGGAAGCGATCCAGATTCTGCGAGGCGTTAGACAAGGATGTATACTGTCACCTATATTATTCAACCTATATTCAGAGGGAAATATTTAGTGAAGCCTGGGGAAAATTGCGAAACGTGGAATCCTTTTAAATGGGAGAACGCCTAAACAACATCCGCTATACAGATGACACCGTTATTTTGGCAGACAGTTTAACAGTTTACAGCAACTAATAAACAAAGTAAAATGAAGTAAATGAAAGATTTGGATACAATTAAACATATCAAAAACTAGATTTATGGTCTATCAGCAAAAAATAAAATTAGAGATATCCAACAGCTTATCAAGGAATACACCAGTGGACTGAGTAGTAAAACAGTTTACCTATCTTGGAACAATAGTAAAAGAACAATGAGATCACTCACAAGAAGTAAAATGTAGAAGAAGAGAAGGCTAGGAGTGCATTCAACAACATGGCTTGAATCTTTAAAAGCCACAACCTTAATCTTGCGATAAAAGTGAGGATCCTACGATGTTATATCTTCTCGATATTTACAACGGAGTTGAATTCTGGACACTCACTGAAACAATGGAGAAAAAAACTTGAAGCTTTCGAGATGTGGCTAATACAGAAGAATTCTAAGGATATCATGGACAGACAAGATAACCAACAAGACTGTACTACGAAGAATAAGGAAAGAAAGAGAAAGTGATGTATACGATTAAAAGGAGAAAAGAATATCTCGGACACATAATGAGAAAACGGCGCTAAAAAAACATGATTACTGAAAATAAATTCTTCAAGGAAAAGTATTCGGAAAGCGTGGGAATTGGGATGAAGAATAAGGTGGTTAAAAAAATCTGAGGATAATGGTTCTCCACAACAACCACTAATCTATTTAAAGTATCAGTCAATAAAAATAATTATTATAGCCAGAATGATCGCCAATATTCGAAACGAATAGGCACCAAAAGAAGAAGAACGTTGGTAGCTATTACAATCGGGAATTTTCATACAGGAAATTTTTGGGCGTCTCATCAAAACGAAGCTATTTACAAAGATTCAGCTCGATAGTAATTATTTTTACATTAGGTACCTATTTTTACTAAAAATTTTGAACGTAGGACAAGACTATCGTACCACGTAATTTGTAGTTAGTAATTATTTTTCATGACCTCGTTAATGATACATGTTGAAAAGGGGGACTCTAGATAAAACCTTGCATTTTTAGGACAAATATCTATTCCTAATTTGGATAATAATCTTAATTAAGAATTGACAAAAACCAATCCATCAGCAAAAAATAACGGGTGAAAATGGGCCAGGGATCCCGGACTATATCCTTGATTGTTGAAGTATATAAAGATTTATTAAATAGTCTATAACCGATTTTTGGAACACACCTAAAAGATCACGATTTTACGTCACGTGCTTTCAAAATAACAGCATCAAATAACATTCTTCAGAGCCGGGCCATTTCCGAACAGAATTGTTTTTGATTGATGTTATTCTTCTAGCTTTGGTTACATATGTATAAAATATATAAAGAACCTTATTTTCAAGAATTATGTATGCACAATTTTCTAGGTTCCAATAGCAGTAATACCCTGTGAATGAAATCCCTCTGCCGACTAATTCACATATGGTTACAGATATGACCATTTTTTACAGGTACAAATATGAAAAGACTATATTATTGAATCTGAAATCGTTATAACATTATTATTTCTATTTTGAGGTGGTTGCAAAAGATCACAGAACTGTAGTAAAGCTTCCCTTAGAGGTCTAGAAACTTGGGTGGAAGTTGTTGTTGTGCATTCCACCAAATAAGGATAAAGACTTATTAATTGTTCCCAAGCATTATTGTCCCCTGAAAAAAAGATATATTTACATTAGTTAGTTAAATTATGATAAAGATTATGTATAACAAAACAACTTAAGATTTTAAGAGAATAGTATTTGTACGCATTAATACACAATACATAGTGATTATGAAGTGACGCCAAGCCGAAACAGTGGTTGCAGCGAAGACAGGTTCGCTGGAGCGATATTAATCTGGAAGACTAGAACTTCGCCTGGGCTTCTGAGCGACTAGAACGCTTAGGGCGGTACACTCGATCGCATTGGCAGCAAAACCATAACGTTAAAATTATTTAGGATACATTTTTATTATTATTAAAATGAAATATTACATAGGCATATTCAATACATGCAATAAAGTTTTTTTTTATTTGCATTTGTAGTTGTTATTTGTTAATTTGTTTTATTCAAATGGAAGATTTAAAAAACTGCGTGTTAACTGAGGTGGTTTTAAAGCTCGTTTAACAAATTCTCACATATGTAAATAAATGCATGACCCAAATCGATTAATTTAAAACACAGGCACTTAAGAAATATAATTGCACGTATTGAGAGTCTACTAGGGGCATATTCATAGGTAGACATTGATTGCTTAGTGGAGGAAGAGGACTTGCCAACAATCGAACACAAAACAAGCGAAACCTTTGAAAATTATTTTTATTCGATAATTGCACAAGCACAAGCCCTTTTTAAGGAAAATACCACAGATAATATAAGTTCCGTTGCGAATTCGTACAATAATAAATTCATTAGTTCCTTAGAAGTAAAAATGCCTGCCATGAATATTTCAGATGAATCAGGTAAATATTAATAGTTCAACTAGTAATGTACAGCGTTTTCATTATGAAAAGAGAGCTTTAAAAGGCGAAGTATTCGACATTATTCCAAATACGCAGGTCACACATATATAATAGCAGGATAATTTTCCAATAGCTTGGGATTTGTTGTGTGACCAATATACAGATAAAAGGCATTGTTACATGTACATACTAAGTCCTTATTCGACATTTATCGGATAGAAAATGTATCTTCAAAAGCCACTTAGTATATCACACAAGAATGAACTTGAGATCTTTAAAGTCATTAGGACAGCCTATCGGATTTGGGAAAGCCAGAGTCATGGAATACTCTATTTACATATTTAGTGTCTACCACACTCGATCCAAGGACAATAGAGAATGGGAATCTATAGATTTTTTGAACGATTCACCTAATTTATAAATTTTTCTTTAATTTTAAAGCAAAAGTCAAAAATGCTCAACAAAATGGAGGACAAACACAGAGGCAAATTCAACCCAAACCATAAAGGTACAGCGATTTAAATCACCAACAGTGTCTCGGTAATAGATTCAATTCTCACGTTTTCATACTTCAAGCCATACCTGTTCATCATACATTGATCCAAATCACAAAATTTCTAAAGTTGTCTGCTCCTTGAACGAATCGATTTAGTTGGAAAATCCTATCTGTGAATTAACTGTCTGAATCATAGGAATCAATTAAACAGTTTCAACTTTGGTCATCGCAAAAAATGCACTGTGAAGCATCATTTGCTGTTGCATGCTACATAACCTTCTTCATTTGACATACATGCACAACAGTCTCTCTTCACATTCAGGTTTCGAAACAGGTGCTTTTAGACCAATGGAATCAGTATAACTTTATTAGTTCAAATTTATGTCATAAACTTGGATTACCAAGAAAGCCTAAAAATATTACAATCTCAAGGGCATTTAAGGTGGAACACAAAATTCAATCCATAGCAGATCCTGATTTTCACATTTCCAAAATGATCTTTTTACAGGTGCTGATTTGTTTTGAGAAACATTAAGCTTATGACAAATTCGTCTGAAACGAATTTAATAAAACCTCTTCTTTAGACAAATCAAGCTCATCTCTAAGCCATTCCCAAAACTTAAGCATATAAGCTCAGCTTTCTCACTATTGGGAAATGAGGAGTGTGCTAACTTAATTCAGTCTCCAGAAATCTTGTGAAAACAAGTTTACTTCATCTCATTACAGAGATAACGAAGGTCGTTTCGTGGTCTCAATACCCTTGAAGGAACCTGTTTCTAGACTAAGCGAATCAAATCCATTGTTCTTCAACGGTTTTATAGTCTAGAATGTAAATTTCAGCGGAATGTATAGCTTCGAGATCTATACATTTCATTTATGCGAAAGTATCACGACACTTGTCCAAGATAGAAACGTCGAATCATACAAAATTGTTCCTCTTGCCACATAATGAAGTATAAAAGACACAAACAGGTTGTGTTCGATGCTTCTTGTTCCTTATCTTCAGGCTGGTCATTAAACGACATTCAAATGGTAGGACCAACCATTCAAAATGATCTCTTGTACAATTTACTATGTTTCAGGCAACATACATTTCAGCTGATATGTGAAAAATGTGTCGGTAAGTTTTAATTCATCCTTCACAAAGAAATATTCAGCAGATTCTGTGGAGAGAAAACCTTCAGATCCTATTTTGAAATTTCAATTAAATACAGACATACCTAGCCATAAGATCCATTTTTCAGCTGTCTTTAGAAAACCTGAGTACATCTCAAGCCCTTTCCAAGGTTATCCAAAACGACTTCTACGTAGACGATCTACTTACAGGCTCTGATTCAGATCTACAGGCTATGATCTCAGACAGATCTTTCCAATACTTGCAAGTAAGTATTTTCAATCCTCAAACAAGGTTGTTTTGAACTACGGAAGTTGATCTCCAACAAACCTCAAGCTCTTATACATATTGCAGATTCCAATGTGCAACTTAACACATTTAATTTAGATTCAAGAAAAATTCGAAAACATTGTGCATTTTTGGTCATCTTCGTCTGATGTCCTAACGTACAATTCGGAGGTTTTATTAGACAGCTCCTTTAAAACTGTTACAAAACGTCTAGTTCTATTTAGTGTCTCACAGAAACTATGGATTGAACGTTTATCTTGGGAAGAGTCTGTCCCTGCATATATTTATACAATATGAGTAAATCTATGTGATCAACTCAACAATATAAATACTTTCATAATTCCCAGACATCTACTTTCATCTATCAAGTACAAGTTCTGGCCCATTTTAGGCCGCAATATTCCTCGAAAAACTACATAATTGCATAACGTGTTTCAAGACAAAACCCTCTTTTCAAATCCCTACAATGAGTGAAACTGTCCTGTCTGTGATATATTCCAATAGTTTGTCAATTGAAACCATTCTTTCTATTTTGTTTTGTTCTCCTATATTCCTACATAAAATGACGTGTAATAAAAATTCCTTCTCGTGTTTTGTTTACACATCATTTTATACTTTATTTAAATAGAAAAATGCGAATTATTTCTACATGACGGTGCGTTCTCAGATATTTTATGAAAAATATCGGGCTCTATCTAGTTTTCTCTGGGTTAGATAAATAGTATACGTCAGTTGTAGTAGTTTTGTTTCTATTTAAACTAGATTATACCAGTCAGTGTGTGGCTGGTTTTGTATAAGGTTTTGTATTAACCCCAAATATACGAAGGGAAATATTTTCATTCCGTCTCACCCGGCAGGTCTATCTGACGAGGTAAAAATAGAGAAACACATACCATAGAATGGCGGGTTTGACGGGATGTGAATATGCCTTGTCGTATATTATTTACAAAATATTTATTGCTTTATATTTGCTTACCTTTCACAATTGTAGCTTTTTTCATAGAAATTATCAAGGTAGTAAGAGCTTTCAATACAAAAGAAATCTCAGAGAGGCGATACCTAAAAAACACCAATATGAAACTGAAATCTTGTACTATTGTTCATACATTCCAAACAATATTGACATAATATTTTATTATTTAAGATACCTTGGCAATGGGCATTTTCCGCTAAGCTTTTCATCTTCGATGTATTTTTTCAAAACTTCTTGAAATCTATGGAGCAAAGACGTCACCGCCAAATGTCCAGCAATACCATTATTTTTATCGTCTCCGTTAACCACCAGTTCGTGTTTAGCACCATCGATCAAAGAAAATTGGAGTAGTGTCTCAAAACAAGTCTTGGCAAACTCTTCTCGAAGGGTTAATTCAATATCACCATCGGTTTTGACGTTTGTGGCTGAATGGATAGATCCTTTGTTCAACAGAATTACTACCTGCATTACAAAATCTTTTGGAATATTTGGTGAGTAAGGTAATACTTCTGTCCGTAGTAGTTCTATTATCTGACAGTCAGTGGCTTCGTCTGAAACCATCTCATCTAAACCTTTTTCTCCAGCAGCACATCTAAAATACAAACAATAGAAAGTAAGTCGATTTGTTGTATGACATAACAAATATTACTTACGTCGTTGGAAAGAGAAAATCATTAAGAGTATTATATAATTCGTTCCACATAGTTGCAAACTGGTTTCCATGGATTCTAGCAACTTTTAGCCCTACTTTTAAAACTGTTAAAAGACTGTTTGCCGCTAATTTCCATATACTGTTTGAAACACAATTATATTTAAGAGCTAGAGGAGTATGAAGGGTTACTATAATCTCTCTTAATATATTAGCACTTATAACTTCGTTATTCTCAGCAGTCTTTTCATACAACTTAACTACCATTGAAACAGCTTTTTCACCAAAGGGCACATAGTTCATTGTGACCCAATCTGCTATTTTTTGTTTGTTGTCTACTTTGGTAAAGGTTGGAGGTGAACATGTGAACTTTGAAAAAGACAACAACAGCTTAAATATTTCTGGTATCATTTTTGAGTTATTCTTTTGCATTGCCTCTTTTTGGAGAAGTTCCATGACATGTAACACTCCGTCATGTAATGGTGTTAAAATAATATCAGAGGAAGTAGATATTATGTACGGTGTTTCCCCATAAACAGGAATGCTCACTGCGTTTAGGAGAACCGTTCCTAATTGCCTTAGGTCTTCTAAAGTAAAATTATTCCTAACATGTTGAAACACATAAGGAAATATTTGAACTAACGCTGTAAGAAAGGTTTGACTTGGAATGTAAAAATCTTCATGGGATTCGTTGTCAATTAAGGGCACGGTTATTTCGGTACCAATTTTCACCCAGACTTTCCAGGCCACCACCCAAATATCTTTATCATCTATTAAAGTCTTATTGTCTGTACTTTGGTTTTTACTTTGAAAGAGAATTTCTTGGAAAGATTTGAGAGCTGCTATAGAGACTTCATTATTTTTACTTAAAGCTGCGTTTTCTATAAATTCTAATAAAACAGACCACGCTCTAGGAAAATCGCCCAAAACTTGTAAGAGCTGTCTCTTTGTGTTAAATACTCTAGCAACTCCTGATAAGGTAAGGACCTGGGTCTCGGCCCACTGTTTCTGAGCAGTATTTCTGGTATGATGGATCAGGATATTGCCGCCTGCGTCTACCTTCTCGCTACTTGCGGAATTTGACAGACTTCTAACTTTGTCCAGTAACGGAAATAGAACTTGCCAAAGGAGAATTTGCCATGTTGATGATTTTAATAAGCTACCATGAGCAGATATTGTTGAAAATAAAGTTTGACTAGCTGATTTTCTGACAGCAGGCCTGGTATCCACACATAAGTCTCCTAAGCTGGAGTACAGACACATCCAGAGCTTGTCAAAACTAGGCATATTAAGGGTGCCAGGAAAATCAGGTAGCACTGTACTGTCTTCCAGTGAAGCCTGGCTCAACTTTCCTTGGTTTTGGTGAAAGTAGTCTGATATATTCCACTGAAAAGATAAAACAATTTTAGAAGAACATCAAATTTGATTATTTAAATGGAGTAAAAAACAAAAACAAAATGTACAAAGTTTAGGAAAATATCTTTATTGAGGGATTGGTATAACTTCAAGAGAGTCGAACATTTACGAGCGCGTGGTGAACCTCGAGTACCGTGAAACAGCTGTTCGCGTGGCGACGTTTCGACAGAATACAAAATGCTCACTAAAATCTAGAATCAGACACAAATATCAGATAGGTGCGACTATCCCAATGGGATGCGACTACCCATCGCCCTACTTAATGTAACATACAAGGTCATGTCAAATTTGATATACGAGCGTCTGCAATCGTATTTAGATAAAATAATCGGAAAATCTCAGTATAGATATTTTGAAAGACGAAAGCCTGGACAGACGAAATTTTAATATTAACTTGGAGAAGAAATATATTAACCCCTTGTTGATTGCATGATTGATGTATTATGTGCGACAGCATAATCCGCGACATGTTTATAAAGCAATGATTAGCTTTGACATACCAATGAAATTGGTAAAACTAGCCAAAGAAATGATGTACCTAGAATATAAGGTGAAAGTCTAAGGACATCTGACAGATTCCTTCTCGACCACCTTGGGCAAGGGAATGTACTCTCTTACATCCTATTTAATCTAGTATTAAAATATATTGCAAGGGAAAGTAAAGGAAGAGAGCTCGCCGATTTCATGCAGAGAAGGATTGGTGTACTTTGTGTACAGTTAACTCGTTGGAAAGGTATAAGTCGTGAGATCTTGGAGATGGATGCAGGTTAATACATATATAGTAGTTTGAATAGTCACGGCAGAAATGGATTAGGTATCATTTTGAATAACGAATGGAAGAAACATCTTGTAAGGGTAACCAGAAGAAATGATAGAATAATGAGTATTACAGGCAATACCAACGTGAACATCGTATGTGCCTACGCTCCACAGGTAGGGTGTAAAGAACAGGAAAAGGAAGAATTTTGGAGATCCCTAGAATGCGAGATGTTCGAGATTTTATCGAGGTGCTTTATTGAAGGTGATTTGAATGTACATATTGGTACAGAAAGAGCGGGAATAGAAAGAGTTCATGGAGGGTTGGGGATGGGAATAAGAAATAATGAAGAAAATAGTGTGATTAACTTGTGTTACCTATAGTAGCGGGGGAAGAGAAAGTCAGATAGATTTTTTGCTGTGTACAAGAAGTCGGCTTAAAGAAGTTACGAACTAACTAATAAAGGGTGAGTGTGTAAAACTTAATGTAGCTAGTTTAGCTGAGTTAAAGGTGAGGCGGAAAGAAAGCAAGTAGGACAACAGAAAGCAAAGTGGTGAAAGTTAAAGGATACGGATTTGGTAATAGTCTGCAAGAACAGAGTGCTCGAAGAGCTTGACAAAAAAGATACGGTAAATGACTGGTGGGAAGCCAACAATAAAGTTGTGGTACGAGTGGGAGAGGAAGTGTTAGGAAAAACATCTGGTAAAGGGCCACCTAGAGACAAAGAAAGGAGGCTAGAAAGGGGTATGGCATGTCTAAAAGAGAGGAAGATAAGGATATATACAAGGTGCAAAGAGAGAAGCAAAGCGTGCTGTAGCTACTGCTAAGAAAAGATCGACTGCACAGCTGTATGATGAGTTGGAAATACCCGAGGGAATGAAAAGCTTATACAGAACTGCTAAAGCAAGGGAAAAGTCATCCAAGGACTTGACCCACGTGCGGCAGATTTAAAGTGCGGATGGAAGAGTGTTAAGAACCGATGTTTAAAATAAAGCAAAGATGATATAAGTACTTTAGTAAGATGCTAAATGAAGACCGGGGAAGAATGTAATACCGAGGATAGAGAGAGAAGAAGTTGTCGAGACGTTAAATAGGACGATGAACGGTAAGTTGGTTGATATTTTGTGGCAAATGATAAGTAGGATATAATTATGAGGAAGAAAGAATGCCCAATATATGGAGAGGGCGTGTGATGGTATCATTGGAGAGCAGAGCGAATAGCGAATATTTTGAGACAGAAACAAGGAGATTACACAGTATCTTCATCCGTATGTCAAATCTTTTTTTCCGCAGTCTTCAGCTGTAAAATCTTCTTCTTTTCCGTCCGTTAAATCGACTTCTTTTCCGCAGCTGTTAAATCTTCTTTTTACGTCTGTCAAATCTCGTTTCTGTAATATTTTCAGCCATATTTTCACCATTTTTTATCCTAAGTAATTTTAGTAAGATAAAAATGATTTTTGTAGTTCAACTAGTATCCATTGGTGACTTATTATTGGTTACTTATCCATGACTTAAAATATCTGTAAACGAATTTGTTATTTCCTCCCCTGTTTTCGACTTTTAACATAACATTTAACATGACATAATACGTGAAATCTGTCATAAAACATGACATAATTCGTGACGTGTGAAATATAACGTGACATTTGACATAAAATGTGACATAATCCGCGACCTCTGCTATGTCGCACGTTAGGATTCGGCTAGTTGTTTATAAGGACTTCTTGAGGTTAATAAAGCAAATTTACCTTATAGTCTGTTTATTATCATCCAAACTCTCATGTGATATCTCGTATGCCGATATATGTTCACTAATAATGAAGAGAATGTGTAGTACTCTTTTGGTAGCCGCCTTGTTTGTTTTTCTATCTTAATATAATCGTTATCCCCCCCTTTTCATTTAACACATCACACGCTCCAATAGAACCAACAACAACGGAGATATGATGTAATGTACTTTTGGCAATATCTCCATGTATGTTTTTTCTATCTCAAGATATTCGGCATCCCCTCTGATTTCCAATGATGTATCATACGTCAAGATCCGACGAGACGTTCTACTCCCACCACAAAAAGCGTCAAAAATTACCTGAATGATCTTCGCTTTCCTGACGTTTCCAATAAGAAATAACATGCTGCGCCTCCGCCAAAATGACCGTTGTCTTGGCTCTTTACTACCGTTTGTAACAACAAACAGCTTCTCAAAAGTACCAGAAGATCTGAAAACCTTCGAAACTAGAATATGGAGGGCGAAACGGGAATAAATCGAGAGGAGTAATAATTGAAGTAACTTAAGAGGAACTATGATACGAAATACGAACATCAGTTACGTGTGGATGAAAAGAAAGGTTACTTAAAAATATAGAAACAGTGGATAACCTACACCCTAAACTAGAGGGGGGGAAGTTCCCAATCTAAATAATAACAAGAAGCAAGTAAACGTCCGTAATATGTAGGAAATATTTAAGATTTATTGCTAAATGAAAAGTTTTTTAATAAAGTAATTATCAAAAGTTCTTACCATTAAACCAACCGCTGTTAAGGATATGTTCAATTCTTGTGTTTGAGAACCAAATTTGGCAACCGTATCTACACATAGAGGCAGGCATCTCCAGGGCATAACAGGCAAAAAGTCTGTTATAACCAGCTGCAGACATTGGAAAGCAATTCTGATCAAATTTTCGCTAAAAATAAGTAAATACACAAATATTTATTACATATACATACAAAAAAAAGAAATACCTACCCATGTTGATCATTGACAGCACCAATAATACCAAGCACTAACGGCCAGCCATGAGTGAGCGTTTCTCCATTTGTGTGTAGAATTTGTAGAACACATTCCAACTGTTTTTGCCTAACATCTCCATGAGGAACTGAAGATAGTTCGTATAAAGGACCCAGAAGTAAAGTCTGGAGCTTCTGGTTTTCTCGTAAGGGCACTGCATGATTATAATGTAAAGCTGATTTTACCAAATATGTAATAGCTTCAACTCCCCAACCTCGCATTCTTATATGTGGGTGATGGCACACTTCAAGTAAGTGGTTTGTTAATGGCCTCCAAAGTACTTCTATTCTTGACATATTCACTAAACCTGTTTCCAGTAGCTTGGCTACTGCGAATAAGGAAGGCTCTCGGTTGGAGTATGCCAGCTCCATTGCTTCTTGAGACAGTTTACACAACGCACTTATAAGATGGTGTAATGCTACATCATCTAAATATTGACTAGATTCGAACAATTTACTTAACATAGTAGACAAAACTGGCAGATTATCCATAACAGAACTAGTAATTCCAGTATTAGTATCTGTAGCAGGTCGCACTGCCTTTAAACTTCCTCCAGTTGATGGCTTTAATCCTAAAATCCAAACCAAATGTTGCAATGTGGTTAACACCAAATGCCAAGAAGATCCTAAAATTCCACCGTGGCAGTGAGCCAAACTAAGCAAAGCTCGCATGGACTGCAAATTTTTGGCGGTTAGCATCACAGGTCCTTGTTGAGTTCCAGCTGGTATAGATGACGTTGGTAAAGGAGTACCGACGGCTACTACCTGTTGGCGGTATTCTGTTTCACCATAGGGCACAATAAGAGGAATGTTCATATCTTGACTGTCTCTATGAACTAAAAAAAATAAGGGCATATATGAACATAGACATTAAAGTATTTAAAACAAGATAATTATATAATTTATACAATATAAAGTATCGCATATACAAAAGGAAATCGGTGTATAACCCGAAAATTCTTCATGAACTGTCAGACATGCGTGGAAACTTTTTTTAGACTATTTTTGTAAGAGAATACGTTTTTTGTTATTTGGTAGCGGTTTAAATATATTTTAAAAAGAGATTTTAGACAGTACATACAACTTGTAAATAGTGTATATAAATCAAACCGTGAGTTCTTAAAGTAAAATTCTCATGTGTTCTGTCGACGATGCTGCTAAAACATCTGACCGTGAAACATATGCTCAAGCAACTTCTTCTTCTTCTTTGGGTGCCGTGTCCGTATTCAGACGTTGGCCGTCATCATGCTTACAATTTCCTGAAACCTCTCTCTGTCGGCTGCTGCGCGAAATAATTCTTCTACTGTGAAACCACACCATTGTCTAATATTACGCAGCCATGAAAGTTTCTTTCGACCAATCCATCTCTTTCCTTCCACTTTTCCTTGTATTATAAGGCGAAGTAAATGGTATTTGGGTCCTCTAATTATATGGCCGAAGTATTCTGTTTTTCTCCTCTTTATGATGTTTATGAGCAGACGTTCTGAGTTGATCATTTGAAGAACATCTTCATTGGAAGTGTGCGAAACCCAAGATATCTTTAGGATTCGTATATAGCACCACATTTCGAATGCTTCTAACTTGTTTAGCATTGTGGTTTTTAACGTCCATGTCTCACAACCATACAATAGGATCGATCACACATAACATTTCAGGACCTTCTTACGAATGTTCATTGACAGGTTTCTGTTGCATAAAACTGGTTTCCAGGTCATAAAAGCCTTACGTGATATTTCGATCCTGGATATTATCTCTTCATCAGAGTCACAATTTACATTTAACCAGCTGCCAAGGTATTTGAAATGATTTACCCTTTCTATCTCTTCTCCATTAAGAGAAAGCAGACCTTGATCTATATGGATCTTTCCAACTGCCATCCACTTTGTCTTTGAAATGTTGATTTTTAGACCTCTCCGATAACTTGCTTCACTGACTAGATTTAGTAATGTTTGGAGATCTTGTAAACTTTCTGCAAGAATGGCTGTATCGTCAGCGTATCTAATATTGTTGATTACTTCTCCACCTAGTCTTACTCCCTCTTGTCTGTCATCCAAAGCCTCCCTAAAGATTTCTTCAGAGTACAGATTAAAAAGAGTGGGTGACAAAACACAACCCTGCCGTACTCCACGTTTGATGGGTATTTTTTCAGTGGGACTGTCTCCAATTTGGATAGAGGCTACTTGATTGTAATATAAGCTCAAGCAACTAGAGAAACGAAATGAAGACTCTTGAGGAATGGAAATGGCCCACAAACATTCTAAAAGTTAATGAAACTTATATAAAGACCGATGAGAAATATAAAGAAACTTCAGAAATGGCCAAAGAAGTTTTTACAAAGACAGACAAGAAATTTGAAGAAGTTTCTAGAAAGACTGAAGAAAAATTTGAAGAAGCCAGAAGTCATTTTTGCTAGACGTAAGAACCTGGAGACGATCGGCGCGGGACTGGCAAGGTTGGAGGAATAGTTTGGAGGAGGCCAAGGCTCCATTTGGGATGTAGCGCCATTGGAGAGAGAAAAGTAATTTACAGAAAACCAACCTACACCAACAGATATTTAAATTATCACTCAAACCAAAACGTTAATATTGAGCTGGATATCAGTGAATGGAATAGTTGTCATCATTTCAGTTTGCTCGTTAGTAGCAGCTTTGTTTTCCAATTTATCTAATTTTTCATTTTCTGCGATACTTGTGTGTGACAGTACCCAAACACATTTAACGTTTGCGTGTCTGTTTTGTAAGTGGTAAAGTGAAAGTTGTATTTGTTGCAGGATAGCATGTGCTGGATATGTTTGCCTTAAGCTCTGAAGAACAGATAAAGAGTCAGTAATGAGAAGAAAGTTTGAGCTTGCATGACTCTTACATACGTTTAATCTCTTTAAAACGGCGATTGCTTCTTCCGTAAAAATGCTGCAGAATTGAAGGATCCGAACTGCATATTCAGTGTTTCCTAATATAAGGACCTCTGCATGTCCGATTGCAGTTTTTGGTGCATCAGTAAAAATCTTGTTATAGCTAATGTATTCCGATATCCGTTCTTGATATAGTTCTAGTAGTCTTGATATAGTATTAGTAGTCTAGGGAGGTATATAAAACCATATCTCCTTAAGCGTCCTTTCACGGGTGAACACTTTTTTTTATGACAATGAGTAGGTGGATGTGCTTTATAAATAAAAGGGTGGTTTATGTTATTAGGGTTAGAAGACAATCTGGCAGCATAATTTAAAGACATGTGTTATCTACGTATTGAAGGAGAAGGTTCAACTAGGATAACCTGAAAACTTAAAACAGGACTAGTTCGGTAAGCCCACAGAACGAGTCTTAAACCTGTGCTTTGTATAACTTTTAGTTTTTTGAGAATGATTACTCGCAGTTGAGTAGCAAACTGCACTATATTCCAGTTTACTTCGGATTAACGATTGGTATATATGCAGCACTATATAGTGTCTGCTCCCCAAAATCGGTTGATAACATTTTAAGAAGATTTATTTTAAATTGACAGGATACGACTAGCTTTTTAATATGTTTTAAATTTAAAATGTTAACTGACTGGCCAGTCTTAGGCTAAGAAAGTCGATGCTCTCTACTTGTTTTAGGTTGATACCGTTTAGAGTAAGTGCTGTTTTGCAATTAGTTTGTCTTTTGTTGAATATAATGAAACGAGATTTATCACTTGAGAAAGTAAAACCAGTTTTTCGAGACCGGTCTTCTAGATTATACAGGAATGATTGAGGCTAGTATAATATTACAGCTACTAGTATATACAACTATGCCATCTGAATAGACTTGTTTCAAAGTTAACTTTAGCTCGTGTGCGATATTATTAATTGCTATCAAGAATAGAGTGGGGCTTAAGGTTGAGCGATGTGAAATTCCGTTTTGAAGACATTCTGGTTTTGAAAAAATTCCGTTCACACGTACTTGGAATATTTTATTGTTCATGATTTCAGCAAAAAAATTTACCTGGATACACCAGCAGTATCAAATGCTTTATTTATATAAAAAAATATATGGCAGTTACATTTTGGTTATTTGTAAGGGACTCACATATATCATTGTCAATAGTTACTAAGGCATCATGAGTTGATCTGCCTTTTCTAAAACCGCTTTGGACAGGGCTTAATAATAAGTTTTTTTTTATGAAACCATATTAATCTTTATTATTTAAAATTTTTTCTAGCAGTTTGGAAGAATTATTTGTAAGAGAAATTGTTGGTACGTTATCAGGACATGATGAAGTGTTTTTTTATTTATCTAGTTAATACATTAAGAGATTCTATGTTGTAATAACCGTTTAGGTTCTACTGTAAAATAAATGTATTAGCCATTTTAGACAGCCGACTGAGAAACAGAGATATCACTTTCTGTGTCCGATGAGGACTCAGTACCATGGAGTTGTAATTTTTTCTTAGTATTGTTAATTTGGATTTTATGCCGCGGTGTAAAATATTATCATGAGCAAATAATAGAATATCTTTGACTGATGTCATATCCGTTGTGTAGTTTTCTAAAATGGAATTAGGGGTTTTGAGCTTAAGGCACTTCATATCGCATTACAAATAACATTAAAATCAAGAGGAAATTTAGGGGACCTAGAATGGACTCTAACTCCTTAATAATATATCAGACGATGAGGCTTTTTGGCGTTTAATTGTGTGTTATGATTTTACAAAAGGAGTTGCGGTAGTTGACGTTTCAGGTATGTCGGATGAGGTAGATATCTGTCTTTTCGTTGTGTGGAGGAGTACTTCGGTGATTAATGAACGAAAATTTGTATCTTTAGTCTTTTCTATGGACAGAGTGTGTTTTTGATAAGGATAGTTGCTAAGATACTATGGTTTCAACATTAGAATTTTGATAGTTAGTGCGGTCAGTATCCATTACGGGAAGTTGTACAGATGGAATTACTTTCTAGGGTTGATATTGACTATTTATTTTAAGGGTTGTTTGTTGACATGTTGAAAGACAATCAGTTTCCCGATGTCCTTTTATTCCACACTTAGAGCAATTAAATTTGTCGAGAGTAAAGTATATACGGTAGTTGGTGTTGTCATAGGAGATTGTAATAAAGTCTGGGATAAGGATGTTATCACCAGGAGTGACAAATACTTGGCGAAGAAAGTTTAAAACATTGCTATATGCAGTATCCGGCATGCCTTCTCCCAAAAAAGTCATTCGAGATATTGTTTGAAGTCCTAGTTTTTTTTTCACCTTCTATTAGAGTGTTTGGGATGGTGGGACAGACGTTAGAAATAACGAGTTTTGTCGCTAGAGTGATTAATCTTCTAATTTCTATTTCTGTATTGTTCAATATTAGAGAATTATGTGCTTGCAGCAGGAATACCACAACGTCAGTACTGGTGAGGTAAATGCATATTCTACTGTCGGCGATCAGTGAGGCGAATAGTATATTTTTCGGTTGCACTAAATTTCTCACAGCAATAATTTATTCATGAATTTTTACGTCCTTGATACTAGAGAGATCAAAAGCTTGATCTTTTGTTGGATATTTGAAAGAGGTAAGAGCACTGGAATATGTATTTGGTTCTATCCTCCTTCTATCCTCCAGACGGTCCTGTCTCGAAAGTCAGAAATTACAAAAGGTAAGAACAAAAAAGCGATTCTTATCAGTACTCTTAGATATCATGTTTTGAGGTTACGGTATTGAATGATAGTTAATAATTTATAAAGATGCCACTCACAGTTATGATTTATAGCACAAATTGTCACATAGACTGACTATACAGTGTAGGAAAAAGTTTATGGTCGGTATGGACCTTACGTGAGATGGAGTGAGAAACAGCTGTTTAGAAAGAGAGAGGTATATTAGATCCGCC